AATCCTTGGGTTCCTTTAAAATCAGAGCTAGATAAGATTTTAACAACTCTGAGCTATTAGTTAAGTTCTCCCCAAGCGAGCTCGATGGGCCGAATGGCCTCCTCTCGTTTGTATAGTTCTTATGTTCTAAATTTGTTGTTTGTTGTAGTAGTAGTAGTAGTAGTAGTAGTAGTAGTATCTGAGGCAACAAATCTACCCTACTGAATCAATATGCCACCCTTTAACTGATGGTTTTTAGCGGATTTGTTTTCAAGTATGAGATCAAATTCAAAAGTATGAGATGCTACCACAAAACATTTCTGCAGCTTGTATGCAGTACTAAGAAGAAAAGTGTAACTATTCACAAGAATTGTACATATGTACGAAAAATGATAAGTATTGCCTGCTCAAGTTGATATGCAGTATGAACTTCAGACAGACCATGAATTACGGTATTCTAATAACTTATGAAGACTGAACATTCTCCAAAAATTTTCTACCCATTGTCATTATCAGTGCCAAGGTCTACATTAGAGGTGCACCAGTCTGATATTCAGCACAGATCCATACCTACTAGAGCAAGGGTGGGGAACTTGTTCCATGGAGGGCAGTTGTGGGTGCGGGTTTTTGGGATGACCTCTCAATCAGCAAATAATGAAACAGTAGTTCTCATCTCCAGTCATGGGGACCCACTATTACTGGCTTATTGAGAAGCCATCCCAACAACCTGCACCCACACCAGCCCTCCATGGAACAGGTTTCCCACCCCTGTGTTAGACGGAACTGCTTTCGGACATATGTGACCGATCCATGTCTGATTTTTGAGTTTTTGGCAGTCTATAAAATGATAGCTCCCATTTCTTGTTAAATTGATTTGAACAATAAATTAAAATGACAGCTTTTTCTCAATTTTAGATGTCTGTTTTGCAGCATTCAAACTGAATGATGAACTGAACTACTCAGATTTTTTTGCCACTCAGGGGGTGTGAGCGCAGTCACTACTGTGATGTCATTTTGATACCCTTTGCAATAGGGAGAGCATAAAAATATCAAGTAAGAGGGTGACGATCTGGAAGCATTTTCTGCTTGAAACAACTATCAGCACAGCAATTTGCAATCTTTTTAAAAGTATTGAGAGGTGAAAGTAGTGAAAAATGCCACTGAACAAAGTGCACACAACCATACGAGTCAATGCGAGTAATATTACAAAAGCAATGAATGAATCGGGAATTGCTACACTGGGCCGTTTTGCACACTCGCTATAGCTTGTGATACATGAGGGGCTGCTATTCCAATGAAGTTTAAGTGACGCTATTGCCAGGGGGAGAAAAATTCTAGGGCATGTTAAGCATTCGCCACTTACGTATAGTCTCCTGGAAGATATTGAAATTGAACTGCAAATGCTTCAAAAATGCTTAAAACAAGATGTACAAACAAGGTGGAAAAGTACATTATGTATGTTTCTAGAAGCACAACAAAGCTTTTTTGACATTTTTTTCCATTTGTATTTATTAGTTTAAAAAAGTACTCATATCCCCCAGTACCCTGTGTTCAGGCATCAGGAGCATATTGGGACTAAAATAGTGGGATCAGTGCACCTCTAATAATATTAAGGTAGAATGAGCTCTTGTATCGCAATCTGCATCAAACTGAGAAATAAAAAATGTGGACTGGCCCTTCCAAGTATTTAGATATGTACAGTGGTACCTCGGTTCTCAAAGTCACTAGAACTCGAATTTCTTGAAAGTCGAACAAACCAGTTTTACCTAGAACTCGATCTGAATATCAGAAGTCGAACCGTGAACGCTGACCTAATAAATTGTACGCGCCAGGAAATGAGTCGTACTAAAATGCAATTCTTACTTGAATGCCTTCTTCACAGATTGGACGATTAACCAAATAAAGCAGTGCAACATTACAGTAACTAACAATAAATAAACCACTAACTTACGTGTACTATTAGAGCATTTATGTCATTTATTTAAACTTTATTTTACCAGGTAAATTAACTGAAAACCAGTTCTCACTGCTTTACGTGATATTCGGGAGAAATAGCAGATTACGCATCGGAACTGCCTGGGATTCAAACATCATACGTGTAACTAAACTCTTCAGCCAATAAGGGCAAAGGTGTGTCGTCACAGAGGCGGTTCCAGTTTGTGCAGCCGGGTAAGAGGTCGCAATGCATCTAACCGTAATGCATTGCGTCAGGATCAGAACGCGTTGCTTTAAGCCAGCGCTGTAAGCAAGTCGAACGCACCCAATGACCGGACTGGGGAAACAAAATTTACAAGCGGACTTAATACAGAGGACTAATGACAACAACCAGAAACAGCTGATCACATGGGGATCCCACACGAGCTTAACGAGGGGGCGTGGCACACGGAAGGAGCGGACGATCGGGGCAGGACAGGGGTAATGTTGGGATAATATCTTTATCGTTTTGGAAGTCATTAAGAAAAAAAATGCTCTTCTTGTTTTAACCTGTTCAATTTTGTGTTTAAATGCTAAAAGAAAAAAAAACATATTTAGGTGTAATTTTGGGGGGCCGGGAACCAATTAATTGGTTTTCCATTATTTCTTATGGGAAAAATACGATCAGAACTCGAACTTTTTAGGATTCGATCAGGAGTCCGGAGCGGATTAAGTTCGAGAACCGAGGTACCACTGTATTTAGATATTATGTATCTAAATACATAATATCAAAATAGTTACAAATATTTCTATAAAAGTATATGGAACATTAACATTAGTTTAAACATTCAACAAAGATAAATAAAACATCGTGAAAATAAGACAAAACATTACCAGGTTAATTAAGAGAAGTCGAACAGGCTGGAAACGGTAGGAGAGAGGGATGCATACAAGCCGGCCCACAGTAATGGCTGCCCAGAAGACGCTGGCCAAATAGCCAGCTGTCCTGTGTGCCAGTGACATTGGGGGTGCCACTGCATAGGTATAAACAAACCCTGCATAAGCACCCTGCAGAAAATAGAAAGTAAAGAATATGGTCATTTAATCATTAATGACTATATATTCAACAGCAGCATTCTATGATATACTGGATATTTATCAGTTAATAACTTTGTAGTAAGATGATTTAAACCCTATTACTCTGCTGAAAAGGTTCTTTAACCACTGCTACAATGAAAAGGCAAATAACATTGTTCTTAAGTCACAAGGTGCTTTATCAAACTTGAAGGTAAACACATCCTTATAAGAAAGTAAATAAGACACGATTCACTTAGCAGTCTATTTACTGAAATGGTAAGAGCAGGCAGGGTGCAGTCAGCTACAGAACACTTCCTGCTGCTGCAATAGCAATTGGACACTCACCACAATGCCGTCCGTCATAAAAAGAACCATCCCACCCAGGATGTGGATTCCGAAGAAGGATGGGGGCAGGCCTCGCAGACTATTATTCTGACAGCAGCAGAATGGATCACTATGTCCTGCACAACCAGACCCTTTCAGAAAATCATTTCTCTTATGAAGTTTTAGCATTTATTCTTTCAGTTACACAATACTTTGTAATGTTCTGTATAAGCATTGTATAAGTACAATCACCCAAGTGCTGCCGAAGGATGTTTTTTGCTTACCGCCAGCATCTGGGTCTTTTGCATTCGACTCATGACGAGTTTCTATCGCAAGCTCATCCCGATCCAGTAATCGTGGAATACCGCTGGCACAGCAGGGAATCAGCTTCTCCCGGAACATTAACATGAATACTGCTATTGGCACGGGTAGCTGGGAAAGGGCAGCAGCAGTCAGATGAACTTCACCATTATTAAACCCACAGTATAAATGGCAAGAATCACCAGAAAACACTTTGCATAGCCAAAAATCAGATTCATAGATGTGTCATAGCTTAACTTTTGGTATAAAAGACTATTAAAAATGAGCTCAATAAAATATATTTAACTAAAAGTCACAATATGCAATGCATACATACTTTCTGAAAAGGCAATGCATAAACATTTATGGATCAGTCATTGACTCATTTAGGATGGGAACTGAATTTACATTTAACTTTTACCTGGAGAATCTAATCATACTATTAGAAATAAATGGTCGTACTAATCACTTGAGAATCTAATGATCTTTCCAGCTACTGTATACTTGCAGGTCAATAGTAGTTATAACACCAGCAAGTTGTCATTCGACAACTGACAATCCACTTCTCTACTTGGTTTAACTGATATTTTTGTGACTCCGTTATTTAGGCTACTTCACTTTCACGGATTCCTGGTCCAGTCAGAGTAATGCAGCTCTGCAGTGAGGTTATTCCTCAGTATATTAGAAATGTCTGTTTAACTTCACACTTATAGGGATTTGGTAGACTGGTAGAGGGGCTGCATTTTTCACCTACAATGTATTGTTCAGTTCAGTTCAATTTATTTTTATATAGTGGCTTTCACAACAGAGTCATCCCAAAGTGCTTTACACGGCTGTGTTGTGATACATTAAACATAATTTGAGAGAGTAATATAGAATGGAAAAAAGGAAGGGAAAGATATTAAAGAAAGAAAACCAGATGACACCCATTGTCACTCAAATGGCATGCTGAGACTACTGTGTAACAGGAATAATAATCTGCTCATGAAAAGCAAAGCATTACTCTGTATTACATTTTTAATAGGCTAATCTGAGAAATTGCAATAATCAGCAGAATGGCTTATTCATGTTATTTATTTAACTATTAGTAAAAGTCCATTAGAGATTAAGGTTTATGACAATGATGCAAAATGTTCCTTTCCATTCCTATACAAATGTTCAGCCAGTATTTCTTGCATCAAATGTCAACCAAGGAATGATAACTACCTAATTAAACAAACATGCTTGTTATTACAAAAATTCAATATAGGTACATGTAAATAAGTCAACCATGTCCTATGAATCATTTTGCATGCATCAAGCTTGCTACTGTACCCATTCAATAGCTTTGTTGCAGACAGACGTGGCTACTAGTATACTAAAGGGTAACAAAAATGGACACAGCTATGCTAGTTTTAGCATAAGTAAAATATTGTGAAACACTGGAATGAAAAACAATTCAACGGTTGGGCACAGGAAGACAACTTGTGTTCATTAAGTATTAATGAACACAAAAGGAGGAAAAATCGTGGTAGTGTTACTTACGTTTATGAGGGCCATGATCCAGAAGGCAAAGGAGACCTGCGTGATAACCTTGCCCTCCACAGGCAGTTGGTACTGGGATATGTTGGGCATGGGGCCTCCTGCTAGTGTGTTCCTCAGGTGCTCCATCATAGCAGTAGTGTTCCCAGTGCCATTGCTCACCACACAGTTTGTCTCAGACAGGAAGGGGTCAGCAATCAGTGGACTCACCAGAGCACCAAAGCCAATGAAAAAGTGAAGAGCCTGTGTATATTTCGCGGGGAGGGGTGTAGAAAAAGGGGTAACATTTATTAGACTATGGATGATTTGAAAAGGTGAAACAAAGTTGATTCCTTTCCTATATTATTATGCATTCCTTTGCATGTTGTGTCAGGTATCCCACTTAATTTTTATACACTGCTTCTTTCTTACTCCACTTAATGGGCTACTTTAAAAAGAAAGATTCCCGAACAAAAGTGCTGACAACTTTTATTTTCCCCATTCTAAAACAAGCAGTCACATAATGACACGATGATTTAAGATTACATTTTTTTTAAATGTTTTTTGAACCTACATGAATATCATGTTACCACACCAACTCTGCAGTATCACAAACATACACACAGGAAACAGAGGCAGACATTTCAGGTCCAGAAAGTAAAAATCCGATTCAACCGACCAGTTCAGTACACTCTGACTCTTTATACTCGACTGGTTGGTTGAAACAAAATACTGGTTTGGATTTTTTCTTTCTGGACCTGAAATATCTGCCTCTGATAGGGAAATATTTTGAAGAATTGCATATCTCCCTCTCTCTCATTCTTACTTTGCACTGTACTACTAATACTACAATTAGTATTATGAGAAATTGTGTACATGCATGCATTCCACCATATTACTGATTTCAAAAGGATCTTATGATAAATTTGGCATACATTCCAGGGTATAATTATCTGAACATAAAAAGCTAAGCTAAGATTTGGCATAAACATAAGGAGCTATGGACGTTATGATCACTGAGCACTCCCTCACCTGCAAGAAGATGGCAGAATCTTTCTGGTAAATCTTGACCAGCTGGATGTTGGCGATGGTGTCAATGACCCCCATGGCCAGACCAGCGATGGCCATAGCGACTGCAAGCAGCAGCACATTGTGACAAAGGGGAATGATGGCAAAAACCAGGGAGATTGACAGCGAGGACAGGAGGAGGGCAGACAATGCACATAAAAGCCTAAGGAGCAGAGGGGAAAAACAACATGGAAAACAAGCTATATTATTATTATAGTCTGCTATAGCTATATATAGATTCAAGATTCAAGATTCAAAGCGTTTATTATCATATGTACAGAAAAGTAGTATTTCTCAGTACAATGAAATTCTTACTTTGCTGTCCACTCACAAATGCCAGGTTAAATTAAATTAAAGTACAAAAGAGCATACTTGAGAAAAATAGTGCAAAAAGAGCTTAAAGTGCAAAGTGACCTGTTGTGCAAATGAGGTAGGTCATGATATGCAAAGTGATCTGTTATGTAATTGAGGTAGGTCGTCTATTTAGGAGTCTGATTGTAGTGGGGAAGAAAGAGTTGTTTAGCCGGGATGTTCTAGATTTCACACTTCTGAACCTTCGTCCCGAGGGCAGGAGTATGAACAGTCCGTGTTGGGGGTGTGTCGGGTCTTTGAGGATGGAGGCAGCTATATATATATAGCATTAGAGTATATTGGTTGAAACGAGGAAAAGAATAGGGTGCAACAATGAGCTCACTACAAAGCTCTATATCTTACAGATAAAAGCAAAGTTTTCCTTAACAGTCATTTAGACATTTTCTCAGCAGTTTATTTTTTAGAATTAAAACCTCTGGGTCACCTTGACTCACTTTCTGATAAAACTTGGTCTACCGAGTTATCTAGTCCTGGACTCATAATGGCCTGAAGATTAAACACCACTAAGAAATCTGTATTTGCTAGCTAGTTCACCACAATTAGACATCATGATATAAAAGTACAGCAAAGTGTACACCTACAAAGTGCCATTCCTGTTGGCCTCTGAGAAAGTTCCATCAGTTTATTCACTACTCAAAACCAAAGTTATAAAGATACAGGATTGTGTTTCTAACACAATAAAGATTAATCGGAAAAAGTACAATAAACAATGTATGATATTTGGTTTCACTTACAATTTAATAAACAAAAGCACAGATACTGAAGGGAAACCTGGAAGGCCAACTGCTTTGCTGACAAATCGTCAGCCTGGGAACAACTTAGATAATTTGAAACGTTAATGTTAAAAGTAAAAATGTGTTAAAAGTCGAAACATGTAAAACCTTTAACCACACAGTATTCATAATAACCAAAATCAGTTTCTTTTTTGGGGCTCTTGGGTTCATGGATAGTGGTTATAAGTTATTTTTACCTGGCGAATGCAACAGAGAGAGAGAGAGAGAGAGAGAGAGAGAGAGAGAGAGAGAGAGAGAGCGCATAACAGACTGGAACAATAATTATATAATAAAATAAAAACAGCTTGTTCTTCTTTAAGCATATACTATACATTACATCAATACTGATTACATAATACAGCTAATAAAGAGTATAGAACAAACATGCCGCATCGGAAAAGACTATTTTATTAATCTTTTTATTAATGGCAACATTTTTCCATCACGGAAGGTATCCAAGTTCTCTCAAACGCACTAGCGCACTAACAGCGAAAATGCAAGTTGTTTTGTTCTTTGCCCCTAAGTAATAATGCGTTTCACTGGGGACATACTGCGCATTGCCGACATACCACAAAAAATGAATGTTTGTTAAATGTATGGTTTGCTTTGCGTCAAACAGTCCATCCCTAAACTGGCACAGTGCCAGCTAAACAGTCACACAGAAGAAATTAAGACAATTAAGTTAATTTGTGAATATACTTGCCGATGGGCAGAAAATGAAATCCGCGGTGTTATTTAAACAATATAACCAAATGCCACCAACACTTCCAGGTCAAACAGCTGCCATTTAAATGGCTTATGAAACATCAAAAATTGATGAAACATTGCACAAACCGAGGGGTTATAACTGTTGAAAAGATCGGGGACTAAGTCAAGTTTGCCTGGGGCTTGCCTTTTTTTTTTTTTTTTTTTTTTTTTATAAAAGGAAGATAGGCATCGGGGCTAAAATACCATGGCACAAACCCGACGATCTCATCTATGTTTTATTTAAACTTCCTTAGATTCCAGTACAGACGCACTTATCTATATTTCTAATAACATTATAAAACAACCAAGAAACAAGACTTAACAGACCACACCAGATAAGCGCTAAAATATATTCGATAATTACCTCTTCTGTTGCTGTTGAAGTAAACAACCAAGTTATACTATTTTAACTAGTCAATAGTCATTTAAGGTTTGCAGCTAGGCACATAGTGAAACACCCCACAAACCCTGACCGGTATATGCGGCTGAAAGATTTTTGTAAAATAAGTAATTTCAACAGGCAAGAAAGTGTATCATGAAAACCCACGAACTAACCTCCCTCAATTAACATCGGATGGAACATTAGCGTTTGCAGTACTTAAATAAACACTCACGTTTTCTTGAAGACCCCACCGATCGAGCTACCGACAAGCAGGCAGAACTGCTGGGAGAAGAACACCCAGGTGATCTCCTGCAGCGTGGACTGCGTTTGACACCGAAGGTCCAGGATCGTGGGACCTAGGAAGGCGATACAGAGTCCGAAACTGAAGAAAACGCTCCAGTATGTCAGGGTATGCTGCCAGTTCCTTTTAAAGAGACTGAGAATCCGCTCGTCTACAATCATTTTAGCTTTGTCAGAAGTGAACAGATGAGCGATCCCTTCTCATCCCCGAAGTCGGGTAGCAGGGGACGCCGTACGTAGATATTGGAGTCGGTGCCGTCTCCTCCAGTCAGTGTTCCTGATACTTGTCAAACAACTTTTTTTCCTCCCCTATTTGCTTCTTCTCTTTCCTCTTCTCTCCCTGGTGAGTGTCAGGTGAATGGTAGGGGTAAGGGCTTTAAAGCAGGTGCATTTAAGTTTACCCTCCCCTTTTTGTTTTGGTATAGTAAAACAGTGCTTCCTCGAGGTTAATGCATACAACAGTTAATAGTTCACCGTTGTATTTCGTCGCACATCATAGCGTTGTACCTGTAGGATATAGTAGTAATATATTTTTCACAGAAAAACATTTTTGTAAATATGTTACCGCGGTTTCGGGTAAGTCTTTTCACCAGTATATGCGAATGTTTGTGTAGGTCTAAGCATAAAAAGGATGAGTTTTTAATATGATAAATTTATTATGTTATTAACTTTTAATCAGCTTTGGCAGTACTCACGTTACATTTTGTTTCATCACACTGTAATACAGTTAATCACACAACATATTACGTACATTTTATACAAAAAAAATCTAAATAAACTACATTTTATAAAACAAACACCCGTAATTGTTTAAATCAGCAGTAACTTGTAATGTACGTTTGTCATACGACTAACATAATAGTGGTAACATTTTGTGTTAAAATAATTATAGTAATCTTTTAAGACAATAAATATTTTTTACAACAAAACTACTTTGTGTTCCTTAAATATATTTTAAGTGATAGAATTTAAATGGTGAGTTGTATCCCGCTCTTTAGTAAAGGTTCGCTTGTATTTACAGTTATACTAATCTCCAATGAATATGTAAGAAAAGTGTCGCAGAGATGCTTACTGGTTGTGCAAGATAATGCATTATACAACATTACATGGTATATTGCATTTAACTACAACAAATTACAGACATATTTTATATTGTCAGTGACAATATAAAGAGGTATACTAACGTGTATTCTGTCCTTGGTTATATTAAATTTTAATGCTGTTATCCAAGCAAACACACACACACACACAAACACATATTTTTCCCCTGAACTGTTACATTTATCAAGTGCAAAACACATAGTGCTGGAAGTCATAATTTTATCAATAATAATACTGTTATGGTGTCATCAGCCTTGTATATGGGGAAATACAGTCATTATACATTAATTTGTAGAACACCCTTTTTGTTTACTAATCTACATATGAAAATATCTAAATCAATATATCACAAGTTGTCCTTGTGTCTTCACAGATTAGAATTTGCTTAGTTGGGATATATGTATTTTACAGTCCCATTTTAATTACTTTTGTGATAAAACTTCCATCCATCTATCCAGCTTGTCCTATGCAGGGTTGCAGGGGATCTGGAACCTATCGTGGAGGCTACAGGCACAAGGCAGGGAACAACCAAAGATGGGATGCCAACCCATCACAGGGCACAATCATATACCATTCACACCTACAAGAAATTTGATAACTTCAATCAATCTCAGCATGTTTTTGCACTGTAGGGGGAAACCCAGAAGAAAATGCATGATGGCACAGGGAGAACATGCAAACTCCACACACATGGAACTCTGGCAGAGACTTGAATGCTGGTCCAAGAGGTATGAGGCAATAATGCTAACCACTGCACCACCATGCTGGCCTATGATAAAACTTTTTTTCTTCATTTTATGGTCCTATATATAAATGACATATAAAATACCAAAACTTGAAGGGAAATAAAATCACAACATTAAATAAAATACATATTCCCGAACTTGTCTTCATTTACCACAAAAAAACACACCCACAAAAACTTAACAAATGTTTGATTTCTCTTGAAAATTTAACTTGACCTGCACCAAAGTTTCCTATAACAAGTTATGAAGTCAAGCTTTCTCACAAGTTGGAAGCTAGATTGCTGTAACTGATTGTTGCTGATTGGCTACTTGTTTTTCTGCATCATTATTTTGGCTCGTAAGGTGCTACGAAAAACTGATTATTGGTTGTCTCATATTTGTTGCATTCTTCTGGACATCTCACTGGAGTAATGCAGAGGCAGTTTTCACTGCCCACTCATATTTGAAGGGTTACAGAAGACTTCCATGCTGCATGATCCAAAACTATGGACCGGAGTCTTGGCTGAAGAGCTAATTTCTTTACATGCATGGTTCTGTTGAAATGGAGCCTGCTTATTCTTTAGGACACCTTTCACCTTCAAAAGGATTAGAATATGCTCTGTCTCCGGTTTCTGCCTCGAGCTAAGGGGAGGAGAAAAAAGTCAGCAATACAAATGTATATATGACAAGTTATTCTTATACTGTTTCTGAGGGACACATATATTTACAATACAGCGTGAAGTCACAGGAATGTCTGTGGTGGACAGAGGCCTACCTCCTTGTTGAAATGCTGAGGCCCTGTGTCCAGGGTCTTTCTGCAACTGCACTTCTCTGAGGGAAAACACAGAGGATGCTGGAGAGAGAAAGGTGAGGGAGATGTGAGGAAAACCTGTACTAATAAAACTATACACACACCACTACTACACTAGTACACCTTTTATCTATTGCTATCAGCTGATATAGTATTTCAGAAGTGAGAAGTCAGAAAATGCTTGTCAATTAACATTTCCAGCTTGGCAGAGTGCAGACAAATTTGTTCTAAGATTACACCATTTTTTCTTTTTTTAATTCACTGGTATAAATCTTTGAAAACGACTCTCGTTTTCATTTATATTGTTAATCTTGTTTATGCAAATCAGAGATAGATCCAGGTCATAGTATGATTCCTAAAGAGAATGAGGAAGAAATGTCATCTTACTATCAGGTATGCTGTGGATCTGCTCTCCTAGGCTCTTGAAATATGGGTGCTTTAGTGAGGCCTCAGCTGAAATCCTCTTTCTCGTTTCATACTGCAGGATTTAAGGCATCAAGAAGCAGTTACTATACTTTTCAAACAGTTTTAATGCCGTGTTTATACAGTATATATGTGGTAATGTAAAATGCTGCTTATTTAAGTGTTAACTTTTTTACAGTAATTTTAAACACTGAAAATTCCTTTGAAGATTCTTCTCAACAGCTTTTTAATGTATTTAAATAAGGTTTTAGTTATTGGTAATATTGACAAATATTTAATGTGCATTGCAATTTGTTTAATTATTACACTGAATGAAACACAGTATAGTTGATTTAAATGTTATATTTCTTACCAAAAGTAGACTTGAAAGAAGGTCAATTCCCTCGGTGTCTAATCTGAAATTAGCATTACTTACTTTTCAAAAGCATCAACACATCGTAAGTAAAATCTTAAAGTCATTATTTCTCATATAATTTTCACACTATTATGTCAACAAACAGGAAATTTGCTTATTTGCTAATTAAGAATATGAACAGGAAAATATACAGGACAATCATGTTTCTCGTATTTGACATTTACTTGCTGCATGCAGCAGGTATACTTACCCTGAGATAAAGATTATAGATTACTTGTGAACCCATATGGGTTTTAGCATTTACCTAGGTACATGGTTGATGAGTGGCTGAGTTCTGTACTGGGGGAAGAGGTAAGACCTGAACTCCTCATTGGCTGTTATCCCAGGCCAGTTTACCTCATTGGGAGTGCCTGTGCATGTAAAATAAAGTGAGAATGTAGACATCTGCTAATGTTTAGGAGAGTAGCTGGAACTTTGGTTGTACGGACTATGTCCTTGATGAATGACTCCTTCTTCTGTAGTCCAACTTAAATTGGCTAGACATGTACAATGGTCAATGAACAACAAGCAGTTGAACACTGGTAAGGTAAGAGGAAGTAGTTTTATTTATGTAAAATAGATAAAGTCTCACAGCTAAAGTATGACCTTCATGGAGGTCACTGGAGTCTGAAAGATTTGGGACAATATACACAAGTAAAAAAAATTTTGTCACAATCAGGAGATTACCTTTGGGTATTTATATATCAATGGAGATCAGTAAATGTACAGGTATAGGATGTAACAAAATTCAAGGTCCACTGAAATCTGCTGTACTAAAGTTACAATCCAGAGAAAGGTCCAGATTTGGTCCCTTCTTAGCACAAATACGTGAAAGTTGTTATATTTAATGAAAAGCATTTAGAAACTCTTAATTGTAAAAATATACAATTGACATATATTAATATATGTCAAGTGAGATGGCTATAGAGATCAAATTAAAATGTGCAGAATGTTTTATGAAATTTTGTGTCATTAAACTTCAGAATAGATGGAGCCACTTTTGATCCTTGTCAGGATTTGGTGAGGAAGCTCCAGCCTACCAGGGCAGCACAGGGCTGGATGGAATGCCAGTCCATTGTGAGGCCCATACCCACACACTCTACAGGGAATTTGGAGACACCATTTAGCATAAGTACATGTTTTTGGACTGTGGGAGGAAACATGCATGATACAGGGTAGAACTTGCAAATTGTACACATATAGATGGGACTGGTGGCATACAAACCCTAAAGCAGGGTTGAGGGGACAGTGCCTCTCACTGAGCCACTGTACCACCCATCCTAGTTTACTGCGATGTGGCATATTGTTTTCTCTTGACTATCAACACTATTTTATGCTCATACTGTTTATGGTATTACCCATGAGTCGAAAGATAAAGTGAAGCTCCTCTTTCACTGTTGATCCTGGGAACATGGGCCGACCTGTTGCCATCTCAAACAGAATGCACCCAACCCCCCTAAAATCAGAAGCATGAACGTTCCAGTGTTAGCATTGCTGTGGATAATGTCAATGCAGTGGTCATGACATTTTCACATTTTGTAACAACCAAGAGTCATTACATTGGTTTAATGACACCAACATCGGTATGAAAAATGGTATATGCATATGTTAAATGTTACATTGAAGGTATAAAATCTGAAACAACTAGAAACATTTTTACAAAATGGCCTTATAACTGGACAAATACAGTAATTGTTAGTGATAAAGAAGCATAGAGACATATTATGCATAAGGAATATAGAAGAGTTGGATTGCTGTTATGATTCAAAGTTAATTTTGTATCTGAAACTGAAACCAATTTTGTGGCTTTCATTCTGCTGGGTGGTTGTTTAATAGATAAGATGGTGTTGATGTTATTCTAAATCCATGTGGATATACTTAACCACTAATGAATCACTAACAAACACAAGAACTTTTGGTTTGGCTGTCAACGTTTCACCAAAAAGAAACTCTTTTACTCTCACTGAAAGATAGGTGCAGTTATTTCAATTTATACTTTATGGTGGAGTGATCTCCAAAAGAACTGCGAGTGATAAAGATTAACAGCACAAAGTCTGGACATTCAGTCACAATAAAAGCCATTGCAGTAATTATGGGATTCATGCACTGAAGGAAGGGAAAACCATCTGCACTCTTTTTTGTTCAGAATTATAGTAATTGTATTCCCTGGACTCAAATATATATATGGTTTTGGGACCAGTCTGCGGCCACCACTGCAGACATTTTGCTTCTTAAGATGGTAACTTAAAAACCATTTGGTGTATCTTTTACAAACTTTGCTGAGGCATTGTATGAGAAGTAATTAAATTTTGACACAGAATACTCCAAACCCGAAGTAGTGCCGCATAGTGATAGCGAAAAAGGTTTCACACTTGATCCCCATTAAGATGATAAATCAAAAACTATTTGATCTACCGCATTTGATCAAATTCCCAATTGTGCTGTTAGAAAATGCAAGACAAATCATCTCCAGATTTTTTTTAAAACAGGACAAAAATTTTCACGCACAAAAATTTTATGTTCTTAATTACGGTACATACATGGGATTAGCTACAATCAACAAAAACAATATTCAGAAATAAGAGTATTTTTAACTGTTGGCTCTTGCATCTAAATTAGGCTATACCAATTCCTGGCCAATCAATCTCAAGAAATATTGGTGACTTTATCTTGTCAGATGGCTTAACATATTGAATGGTTAAACATAGTTAATGCTCTCCTTTTCATACTCAGATACACACACACTCAAACATATACATTCACAATTAAGAGCAAAGCCTGGGGTCCGTGTGCATGGTAAAGCCATAGATCCAGTGACCCTGGAGCACTTTCTGTGACTTGTCTCAATGTAATTAAGTTCACCAGATCTGTGCCTGTTCAGAACTGGACTAGGGCTAAGTGACCTGATTAAATTCCCCTATGATAACTTTTGGCGGGGAGAGGTCACCTGCGGAAAATTTAGCAGAATGAAAATACTGCAGTCCAAACAAAATATTATTACAATCCAACCTTACACACTCTCCCCATCTCTCCAGAAAAAGTGACACGATTAAATTGTCCCACAATCAAAATTTGAAAAATATCTGTCAAATACTTTTTGTGTTATCTCACTAACATGATCAAATGTCTGAAACCACCATTTTTTGTATCAGTGTTTGGTGGTGCGTCAGTTTTAGGGCAATCTGTCCAAAACTTCCAGTTTGTTATCCCTACAATGTGTTTGCAAAGTTAGAGCTACTGTGTTCAGAAAACTTACTGCAATTTCTTTCCATTTCTGCCACACAGTGCTCATTTTAAGGGCAATTTGTCTGTGTCGATCTTCATCCATATAATGTTTCTGTGAAGCAGTAATAAATAATTAACTTTAACACCCTCATCCTCAACAGTGGAGCCCCATAAGGTTGTGTCCGAAGCTTGCTGCTTAACTCCCTGTACACTTGACTACAGCCACACAAAGCTCCAATAACATTGCAAAATTTGTGTATGACATAGTGGTGGTAGATCTCCAACAGGGATGAGACGACATAACTGGAGGAGGTGAAGGAGCTACAGTGTATCTCTGTGGTGACAGGCTAGCAACTTATTACAAGAAATTATGTTACCCTTATATCTTGTTTATTGCATAGTTTGCAGTAACAATGATTTCACTGCTGTGTACCACTACAGTCATGCATGTGTCTAATAAAAATTTAGAATCTTGAATGAGATCCAACAAATACTTTTTGACCTATCACATTCACAAGATCAAATGATTTCTGGTTTCACTTTTCTGTTTGCTGCCACTACGCAGCGTTGCTTCAGTTTTGGGGCAATCTGTCTCAAAATTTAATCCCTTCAGTTTGGCACCCATATAATGCCTCTGCAACGTTCAAAAAAGATCTGTCAAATAGTTTGGAGTTACTGGATTAACAGGATCAAGTGCCAAAGATGGCCTATTTTGCTTTCACTGTGTGGCAACTTTTGAGGTGTTCTGTCTCAGAATTTCTAGTTCATCACTCAAAGTTTTAAAAAAAGATCCATGAAATTGTTTTAGAGTTATTGTCTTTACAAACAAAGTGTCTACGTCAGCAAACTGGTGCCAAAGCTATATTCCTTGGAGTCCTGGGAATAGTTTTGGACATACATGTTACAACAAGGACTCAGACTATTAAGGTAAAACTACATTAACTTTCACATTTCCAGGTAATCCATGCTTCTAAAAATTATACAGGTTGGTGAGTATGATACGAGTATAGATTAGTTGGGCAGAGCAAGCGACAGAGGTGTCCGGCGAATACAGTGCTGTAGTTCTATTTTTAAACATAAAAATGTATTATGTATTGTAGAACACTGCAGAGAGTGTTTCAAGTGTTGAAACTGGAAACTACAGTTATACTCCAATAAACCCATGCAATATATTAGGTCGTATTTATGGGACATTGTACTATGACACCTAAGTTCAAATGGCAATTGTATGCAATATAAAAATTTTACTGCCTTGAATGTTTTGTTACCCACAGATACAATTAATGATTTTATAACTTATTCATCTGGCCATATAGTATACAGTGGACATTATAAACTTTCTAGTCTTGAGGCCGAAATTAAAAAAAATATATGAAATCATGCATTTCTCATTTTCCTTCAGAAAACCATTATGATTGTATTATGGTCATGTTGAAATTTTCATCCAAACAGCAATCACATCTTGCTGAAAAAGAATTTTTCTGTTTAATGTAGAATGTCAGGTGATTTGGCATTATTAGCGTGGCTTCATTATTAAGTTAATGTAGCAAGAATATCTTTATGAACACATTCGTAATATGCTGTTACGTTGCTTAGCGAGCAGGTTTGTGTAATCATTTTATTGAAGGATGCATGGTTTACCCATATCAATTTCTTGTTTGTCTGTTCATTTATGTGATTGAAATCCTTTCATTTTTGAGCAAAGGCTAAATGACTGGAATGCTGGTTAAATAGTCAAAGAACAGTTTCACCTACCTCCTTCAATTAAATAGATGAAGGGAAACTATACCTAAGGTATACTGTATTTACTAAAATACTAACAGCATACTTTCAACCTCTACATTACAGCAGTTCTGAATAGGACAGCAAAAGACCTACAGTTTTAAACTCTCCAGAAATGTTTTCCTCAAGTGTTTTCAACTGGCAGCCTCCTTGGATTACTTACCACATATCTATGGGGGTGGAATACTCAGTGGAGCCCAGGAGCACATCTGGAGGACGGTACCACAGTGTCACCACCTCATTGGAGTACGTCTTTGTGGGAACTGACTTAGCTCTGGCCAGGCCTAGAATAGCAAAGGCAGCATATCACATACTTTTTAAAAAAGTATTCTTTAAGAATTACACTGAACACACAATCTTAAACACATATTTTAAAATTGTTGACAAAGTTAAATTTTAGGAAATAATCCCTTTATGGAAATTTAGGACTAAATGGTTTCTTTCTCACAGCAAGGAAGGGTTAATTATTTCTATTCGTTTCAGGAATGTGCTGTAGGCCTCACCAAAGTCAGCCAGCTTGAGCTCTCCTTTGTCATTGATGAGAAGGTTTTGTGGTTTGAGATCTCGATGTAAAATCTTCCTTTTATGGCAGTAGGAGAGGCCACGTAGCAGCTGAAACATAAAGATCTACAAGAAAGTGAAATTGAGAGAGCCGCACATTTACTGTCGTGTTCTTTCTCAGGGTCATCTTATAGAAGCAGAATTTGATTTGAAAAATAATATGAAATATTAAAATCAAAATACAATATTATGGAAATTAGATATTATGTTCACATAAGTCTAAAATAAAATAATACCTTCAGTTAGTGGTGAGGGATATGACAATTATTTATTGCTGTGTCAATGATAAGCGTTATTGTAAAAATCTTGATACAATACTACATTTACATTTACTTTTATTTAGCAAACACTTATGTCCAAAGCAACAGACAAATGAGGCAAATAATATATAGTAAACATAGGGCTACGTGTTGTTGTGGAATCAACTAAGCATAAGTGTGGTTAAGCTGAGCTTTCAATTAATGCCAAGTTACAACTGCACTACTTAACATTATTATTATAAGGACAGAATAAACCGATAAGCACCTATCATGTTATGCCTGCTTGTTAAGAGGCTGCAAGAGTACTACAACAAAAATGAGTGATGCAAAACAAAGTAATTTCAACCTGCATAATATCTTAGCACTGCCTGTATATCTAGCTTCATTGTCAATTAACTGTCTCAGTTGTTCAGAATTTAGTGCTTAGATCTTGAACTAAAAACCTGATAAATGTTCATTTGTACTTGAAACTTTTAAAACTTTAGTGTTAAAACATTTTTAAAGCACTTTTGTTGTAATGAGTCAGTTTCTTTTATATGTACAGTATTTTAAAAGCCTTAATAATTAAGTTTATTATTATAACGCCACAAGCAGTGTTTCTTGTGAGGATTAAAATTCCTGTTTAAGCGGCTAAAAGGTCAATTACCATTACTATATACATTATAATTTTGGTGGTTCATAAACAAACAAAAAAAAGTATGATCTATTGATGTAGGAAAGGGGGGGGGTCCATTTAGTTGCTCCATAACTAAATAAAAGAAAAAACAAGTAATAAAAATTACTATCTATAGTCTCTGTCATGGTTGCCTAAGTTAATTGTACACCCGGGATATAGCAATATAGTACTCTCCATATTTTATCTTTTGTAATTCCTTCAAAACATGTGAGCTTGATGCCATTCTTTGAAATATCTATCAGATCCCAGAACAAAGTTTTGAGTTTTGAAGTCATGTTCCATGCTCCACTTCATCTTAAAAGGAACTATTTTTGTAAATGACTATGTTTTTGTTGTATTAACTTCTGTATTATAACCAGTTAAGCAACAAAGATATGAACTGTGTCATATGACATGAATGCTGCTTGGGCAGGTTTTATTTCAAAACATTCCTTTACTTGACACCACAGACTTGCCAATGAAATCAAGTAATATTTTGTTCTTGTGCTGGGGATTTATGTGACAATAGGTTGACTTGACATTTCAGGAGAATGACATGAAGCCTACCTTTACATTGTGCATGCTCATAAGGTTTCCACAGTTGTCCATGTACTGTTTTAAGTCACTGTCCTGTTCAGGATGCAAAAAGTGTACAAAGTTTAGGTGCAGTAACAAGCAACATGCACTCATATATGTGGCCCTAAACAGACTGACATGCCACTATTGAAACAAACTGAAAAGCATTCCAAATCATAGCCTTACTTATAAGTTCCTCAACCATGGATATTGGAAGAGGACGTTTTTAATTTTTGTCATTTATGCTGCATTACATTCAAAGTATTGTAAAATATTGTAATTCTTTCCATTAGGTGTAATATTTCAGCAATCCAATGCCTCCACTTAACGTGTTATAATAACATAAATTGTAAGTCAAAGTATGAAATATGTTTTCTTGATTCCTTCTTAATGATTATAATAAAATCAACCACTCCTTACCAGGTACTCAAAGACGAGGGTGAGTGAGCGGTCAGTGTGGATGATGTCATGCAGAGTTACTATGTTCGCATGCTTGAGATTCTTTAACAGAGACACTGTAGTAACATTCAGATTTCATTATAATTATTCAAATTTTTTTCTGTAATCAAGTCATACAATTGCAAATAACATAAGTAAGAAGAGGCTACTGTGGCCTGAACATTTCATCCCATGTCCCTAAATGGCAGCATTTTTTCACTTCACATAAAACCATGCCATACAGTACCTTCCCGAATGGCTGTGCATGGTGCCCCTTCCTCATGCTCTAGCCGAATCTCTTTCAGAGCCACCAGGTTCTCCGTGAGCTTGCTGCGTCCTTTGAATACTGTAGCATAAGTGCCCTAGTTGCATGAAAAGATTTTCAGACAACCTGTTAAGGCCAACTTTACATTTTTAAAAGATATGTCATGATTCAATTTGTTTTAAAGAGGCAAAGCACAGTGTTCATATAAGGTTTAATTATCATTTCAATTAATGTTCTTTATTAGAATTGTTGTTTTGGTCTTTTGTCATTTGGTTGTGCCATTTTGTTGTATTTTTTGTGTGCTTATGTTGATACCCCCACAGTCTCATGTGACTGAGGACCTGGGAATGTTCCCGTGTTTTTCTATCATTTTTGCTGCAAGTGACACTGATTATCTCTGTACACCTGGGTATATAAGGAATACATACATAACAGTGTAAAAACAGATGTTATTAAAGTTTTTAATATACTATTTTGTGTAATTGTTATTCCATATTTGATCCGCTTTGAATAGAAAATGCTTATGGTTTTTTCACAAAGCAGTAGAATGATCAGACCCTTCGCAGTTGGCCAAACACAACCTTGGAGTTTCAGCATTTCCTGGGTGTGAAAGTAAATGAAAAAGTTTGTGATACTCACCTCCCCCAGCTTTCCTAATTTAACATATGTCTCCAGTTTACCAAAGCCGATGTCAGACTAAAGGAAGGAAAATAGGAAAAAATACATCAAAAGGTTCAGCAATCTTGCTTGAAACAAACAAAAAAAAATTAATTATATATCACTTTAAACTGCATAATATAAGCGCACACACACACACATAACAATTTTTATATATATATACATACATATATATGTATATATATATATGTATATATACATATGTATATATATATATGTATATATATGTATATATACATATGTATATGTATATATATATATGTATATATACATATGTGTATATATATGTACATATATATATATATGTATATATACATATATATGTATATATATATACATATATATATACATATATATATATATATATACAGGAGTGGGAAGTCAATCTTATGGACTAATAAGAATCAGTGCATTGCTAGGCATGAAAAAGTCAGTGTGATGGCTTGAGGTTGCTTTGATTGTGACAGAGCTGGAAGTCTTTGCTAAATTCAAGACAATGTCAATGACTAGAGCTATCAAAACATACTTCAACAGCACATCATTCCACCAGGATTATGGCTCATTGGAAAGCCTTCAACAAGAAAATGACCCAGAACACACCTCAAAATTGTGCAACAACTATCTGCTGAAGGATGATGAAGCACAATTGAAACTCATCCTCAATCCCATAGCACTTGATGGCACAAACTGGACAGAACAGTCAAAGCAAAGTATCTCACAAGCACTCTACATCTCTGGGCATTACTGCAGAAATACTCAGAAGACATGTACACTGCCCGACCAAAAAAAAGTCGCCATTTGAATTTTTCGATGGACTGCCTTTAGCTTTGATTATGGCGCACATTTGTCATGGCATTGTTTTCACAAGCTTGCAACATCTCACCTTTTATTTTCATCCAGATTTGCATAAATTTCTCAACGAGATCCTGTATTGACCAGTGAGTTGAACCACTCCATAGGGCCTCCTTCAGCACATCCCAAAGACCTTCAATGAGGTTAAGGTCACAACTCTGTGGTAACCAAGTCATGCGTGAAAATGATTCCTCACGCTCCCTGAACCACTCTTTGACAATTCAAACCCAATGAATCTTGGCATTCTTGTCCGGGAATATGCCCATGCTAACTTGATGGATGTGTAACCTGGCCATTCAGTAGATTCAGGTACTCAGCTGACTGTATTGCTGCATAATGTTGCTGAGCTGTAATAATGACCCAGTCATTAGCTCTTAAGTATTTGCTGATATAAATTCAAATGGTGACTTTTTTTTTGCCGGGCAGTGTATATTCTTGCTGAAAATTATGTGAATGCTCCATGTAAATCGTTACTGAAACATTATATGCTAACAGTCAGTTAATATCAGCCAAAGGAGTAATGGAGTGTGGGCGGGGATATCTCTGATCTGTCTGCCAGTTTGTTCCTGTTGGAAAAATCCAAGTGTTGTTAGTACTTGAAGATGGGCAGAAACAGCACGATTTCATACTTGTTGTTGTTCATGAGACGGGGCCAGTTTATCAATCCCATCAAAATCAGTCTAAAATGGCCCCAAATCATCATTGAAAAAAATAATCATTGTGATCTCCAAATATTCACTCCCTTCTCATTTGGCTGCCAGGAATGTCCTCTAATAAATCTAAATATCCAATGATTATGCTGCCTGTGACATACTTACACACGGGCCATTTTACACCTATTGCATGTCAGTAAACGTGTTGATGCCTACTTGTGTTGACTTCTCAGTACGAATATCTTTAACGTATAAATATATTGGAACATAAAAAAGTCATTCAAACATTCAACAAATGCTGAATGTTAGCTGTGTATCACATAATTTAAAAAAAATCTCTATTAATGCACATTTCACACAATGCTAAAAATAACTGTAAATGCAACTTAAATGCACATTTCTATCTGAACTCTAGATGAGTCTTTTCCATTTCCTCTACAACGTTCATTTGACTGTTCTGGGCAATTCATAAATAAACTTCTCAGACAAGTTTTTCTTTATAAATGATCAAATCTTCTTATAAATGTTGATACAAATGTTTCTCATCTTTTAATTCATATAAAGACTTAATGAATGAGCTCCTAGGTTATGCGTGTAGCATGCATTACCATGGTGGTGTATGCCACTAAGAACAAAATCAGTGTCATGATTTCAGAGACCCTGAGTTACCTGTACCTCTACTTAGTTATCCAGCTAAGCAAGACATCCAGCTTGGTGATACAGGTCCCACATTCATTGAATCCAACATTACATTAGTATTTTTTGTATTGCACAACACACAAAAGAGGCTAAAAAACACAAAAATCTTTAGAAAAATGACTTGTCAAATTTAATTTAATCAGCTATTTACCCAAAAGGCCAAAATGTTTATGACTGGATTTTCAAATATTTACAAAAACAGATTCAAAAATTGTGGTTTTCACTAAAATTGAATTTATGAATCATTCTTTTATACTAATAAATGTTAACAAGTAGAACTTTTCTGAAATTCCTGTTTCATTTTTACAAAAGAAAAAGCAAAACTCCCGAAATAGAATATGATTTTACCTCTACATGATGTTTTAAGATGAACTGCAGATGTACATCAATTAACCACAATTTCACCACATCATAACTGTACAGTATATGTTTGAGTAGAACTGCAAAATGTCCTTTTCAGGAATTACTCAGGAGGTAAGTGATTTTTAATGTACATTGGTGTGTAATGTAAACTCCATTTGACTGGCTCTGCTTTTGAGGACACTGACTAATACAGTGATAGAAGACAGGTGCTGACCAATGAGGCTCGTCTGGACATCCGGCTTAAGGGTTTGGAGGGTGCAGTGCTGTCCATCTGTAGCTTCTTCAGGAACTCCGGTGGGAGATGTATGTCCATGGGCAAAGACATGCGCTTACTGACATCCTGTACCACAGAAACTTCAATTAACACGAAACACCCTGTGTGTTTTGGGGGATAATGGCATTGAAAGTTTTTATTACAAACACTTTGTTTACCCAGTCTGAGTAATTACCTTACGTTAAATGTTATTTAATTGAATGGTCTATTTTTCACTGTAGTGCATGACTGCAAAATATTGGATTACTCTTTCAGATATCTGTACGTGGTACCTAATAATTCTTTGGTTTATGCCTTCCAGAACAAATTGACATTTTTCTCCATATACTTTTTAAACATTAACATTACTGTGATTGACTGTAAAAATGTCTATGGAAAGGTATTAACTGTTTTATAAAGTGAAGATGTTTAAGTTCAATAAACAACCCTGAAATCTTGAAGAATCTGCCCTGATACTTTTCCTCCTAGAATAATAAGATTAATATTAGTACATAAGGACACAATATTTGAACTCCAAATATATTCTGAAGAGTCCACGTAGTCACTGTTAGAATAAGTCTGAAAAACACTGGTCCTACATACATGTTAAAGAGGCTGTTAGGTGAGGTGTTGGAGCTTTGTATTTTTTTGGTCACAGTTATCCACAGTTGAATAATCTGAAATGGTGTGTTAATTGCTGTAGCTCTACCCAGTAAATGTGAAAATCTAAGCCATTATCTTCTGAATAGGCATATTTCTTTTACTTGGTCACCCTCACCAAAGGTACATTCATGTTGTTCTTGCAGAAAAATGCAAATATAACATATGAACAATGTGATCATGTGACCAGCACAAGGACAAGTAAGCAAAATGGATGGACATGTGGATAGATGAATGAATGTATGCATGGATGGGTGGACAAAAAGACCCCCCCCCCCCAAAAAAAAAAAAAGATGATATTGATTACTGATTGAATGAACACTCTGCATTATTGTAGAACATCATGTAGGGCAGGGGGTCTCCAACTTTTTTCACAGTAAGAGCTACTTTAACAAAGAAAATAATCAGGTGAGCTACTAGGCGGAGGTGGGTGGCGACAGTAAATGTCATCATCGTTTCAGACAAAGTCAAATACACATGTGCAATATATATATATATGCAAAAAATACTTCAGATGTCTTTTAAGTTCTGTGTGAACTACTAAGAACTCACAGTCGATGCACTGCCAACCACTGACGTATATATACTGTGCATGACTATGCAATACCTGCTACAGCTTATGTATACATAAAATTACTGTTCTGTGTGTCAAGTACTGTGGAGGACATCCACACATTCTTATTTGGCCTGCAAGTATATGTATGAAGAATGTATTTATTCCATGTTTTGTACCAATTGCATTATATGTATACCATACTGACCTCCACAGAGAAGCGGTGGTGCTGTGGCGACTTGCTGTGGCAGTGGAATTGAGTGGGGGAATGGCCATCATTCTCTACAGAGAGGGAACTGAGCTCAGGTTGCAGGGTCTGCATTGCCAGCCGGTCTGGTGCCAGGTCTGTATAGTGTACAGAATTACAGGTACAGGGGTGAAATTTAAACATCTTTCAATCAGCTATCGAATACAGGGTCACAGGGGAACCTGGGGGCTCATTTGCAAAAAATGTTTATATATTCTTGTGGAAGAGGAAACGTTTGTACGAAAACTTAATGTTCATACAAACATTATAAGTCAGATTTATAAAACCTTTCACAACCTCCTGAGACCCAAGGAAAAAAGTGTCCTTCAGTTTTAGGTTAATTGTGATTTTCTATGTCTTTGGATGAAATAAGACATCTTTTTTCAAATTTATTTTTATTTTTAATTTCACAGCATGTCCTCTTTAGTGTACAACAGGAATAAATATGTTTCCTTACATCAGTGAAAAGATATATGCAAAAACAAAATGTCCACTGCAATGGACATAAATGAATGGGTGGGGTCTCAGGAGGATAAACCAAGATGTGCATCATACAGGTTATGAATCCCACTTATTCTATCTTCCTTTCTACAGAACAACAATAATAATGTACTATTTTACTCTAGTTTTAGACCAAACTATAGCACAGCAACAGCCACAGTAAAAGTAATGAATAATTTGCTTAAGGCAAACATGGCTGTATATCTTTGTTGGTGTTACAGTACTAGGTCTAACTGCAGCATTCAATACCATGGACTATAATATTGTCTTTGACCAAGAATTGTATGCTCAGTTGAAATAATAATCATAATTAAAAAAATTATACAGTAATCCCTCTGCACTCAACCTGGCTCAGTTTAAAAGCCACATCTGTGTTTTGGGTATCTGCTGTACAGATAGCCAATGGTGGGCATTACAAGAAGTATTGCAGGACCTTAATTTACATTATAGTTGCCAAACCAAATCTAAAACAGTATAAGTAGATTTTCAGAGTACCGTCTCCATGTAATCAGAAGTGCTGTGCATTTGCCTTGGGTTCATATCTTGCTTCATGTTCTTTGAGATTTTTTTCCCCTTAAAAATTGGTAAGTAGGCTCCTCTGTTATTTAAAAAAAAAAAAGTATTTTCTATGTTCACTATATAGAAAATAGATTGCCTGCGGCAACTTATATCTAATGTTTAAGAGAGAGAGTGTCCACCAGAAAACTGTTAACTTATCAAGATAATGATAGCCTACACTGGGTTTTTTGCTCTGACTACACAGAACACATGTAGCCTTCACTTTTTTCTTTAATAACATGCAGGCGTGATATCAGTATGACTATCAACATTTCAAAAATGTTCAAATAGCTACAATTAACTTCAGTGCAAGTGGAACGTGAACACACTCTTAATGTTTTTGAATTAATGAACAAGAGCTAAAAACTAATATAATTAAAATCAAATCAAACACTTGTCCATTGGACCCAATCCCCACTAAGCTTCTTAAAGAATCCCTAGGAGTCCTGGCAAGACCTACAGTATAACTGCCATAATGAATACATCCCTGTTATCAGGTGATGTTCATGACCAACTTAAAGTAGCAGTAATCAAACCACTACTGAAGAAGTCAAGTTTGGATCCTCAGGAGCTCAGCAATTATAGACTTATCTAACGTATAATTTTTGTCAAAAGTTTTGGAGAAGATAGTTGCTGCTCAACTTCACTCATACTTGGAAAGACATAACATACTCTATTGTTTCCAGTTGGGCTTCCGCCCAGGACACAGCACTGAAACTGCCTTGACTAAAGTTGTAAATGACATTACAATGGCAACTGATGTTGACAGTATGACTGCAATAATGCTTCTGGACCTTAGTGCAGATTTTGACATAATTGACCATTCTATCCTATTACAAAGACTTAAATTTGAGGTTGGGTTGTGTGGAATGGTGTTGAAGTGGTTTAAATCATATTTGACTAATTATTATCAATATGTTCAAGTGTCAGATACTTGTCTCCATCATCAATGTCAATGTCAATGTCACCAGTCAAATATGGAGTACCACACCGATCAGTGTTTGATGGCATTACAATGAAGGAGTTTCTATTTTTCTTGCTCATTAATTGCTCTTCATTCTTTTCACCACCCCAAAAGGGAGAGGTAACATGCCAGACTATGCCACCCTGGGAATTTCACCCATGGAAATAACTAATACTCCTTTCATTAACACAATCAGGTTTGATATATGACAAGGCAGGAGATGTGATACCACTTAACAGAATACTTTTATTACACAAATGACTCTAAAAACACAGCAAAACACAAAGGCTTCATCCCAATGATACCCGATAGAAGGTAGGGGTCAGATAAAGTGGGGAATGGATGGTCAAGGCATATGGGCTCCATAAAGAAAATAAATAACCAGACAAAAAAACTCACTCCAATCACGCGTGCTAATACTGCACCGCCATGAAGGTAACCACAATCCAAAGAAAAACCCACGCAGCACACACAAAACACCAGATACACCAACCCCACATTGGCTGGTTCCGGGCTAAAAGGACTAAAACACAAAAGTTAAAATGGCCCACCACTCACACAAGCTAAAAAGAACACTCCCATAAGATGGTCAAGAAACAGAGGGATTCACATCAAACAAAATAAACACCAATAGACTTAATTAATGTAAGTTTAGACAACTAATACCACAAAACAACCAACCTTTAATAACGCAATGTAAAATAAACAAAAACAAAAAAACAAATGTAAAAACAAAAACAACCACTCAACACAAAACAAATTAATCAAAAGAAACATAAAACTAAAACATAAACAGGTTCAACAGAGCAGCAGTGGTCCTACAGCATCCCCACAGCGTTCTTGCAGCCGTTAAATAGTCCAGACACCATCGCTCAGGCTGCACCCTCAATCACACGTGAAAGAGGAAAAGCAAGATGTCCCATAAAAGAGACTGTCCTGCTACGAAGCTGTGTGCACTCCACCTTAAATCAGAATTACTACGTTGCACCGACCGATGGCAATGAGTTGAAAGAAGTGGGGCAACCCGGAAGTGGGCAGTGTCAAAGCTGACAAGTCAGGGAATTCCCTAACTGACACCTAAGCCTTACTGTATATAGAGTGCCCTCGTGTGGATAATTAGTTAACAGGTTGAGCACGCAACACATCCCCCACAAAATCGAAGTATCTCCACTTACTAGACTTGGTCCTTTATTGTTTTCTCTCTACATGCTGCCATTAGGAAACATAATGAGAAAACATAATGTTAACTATCTCTCCTATGCCGACGACACCCAAATATACATTTTGGTTATGCCTAATGACACCACATATATTGTCACTTTAGCTGGATGACTGTCACGGCCTGGATGACTGAAAACTTTTCATCACTAAATGCTCAGAAAACTGAGGTTCTGCTGTTTGGTGGTAGGTTTGCAGATAGGAATTTTATAATTGTACTGTTCTCTCTTTGTGTTTTACTTCCGAAGTGTTAACATAGATAAACAGCCAGCACAAACTCCTTTTCAAGAGTCAGGTAAGAGAGCGGGCTTGCTCCTTTAATGACTTCATACACCACAGATAAGTCAAGATGACAACATTGAATTGGAGTGAAACTAAAGAAAAAAAAAGATACAAAATGACCTTAGGGCCTCCTATATAAGCAACATGTAAATCAGAATGCTTAACATTGTAAACCACTAGGTATATAAAGGATAGTTATGACGATTGACATTAACATAAACATAGTGTACAATGATGATAATTTACGAGCACTACACATTAAGCTGTTAAAGTTCACACAAATTGTCCAAAAACTAGTTACTAACAAATGTCAAAAAATGTCACAGCCATTGCTTTCTGAAGGATGCACACCATGGATTGAATTAGATTGCACAGCAGAAACTGCCCACATGCAACCACACCTTACATCTTTTTTTACAGTTCTTCCTACTTCCTGTTTCCTGTTTTCCTCTGCCATCACAGGCTTCAAAATAAAAGGGCCAGTATCATTTTCATGTCTAACATCTCAAACTTTTCAACAGACAATTCAATATCTTTAAGGTATAAAACATATCCAGGGCAGAACAATAATCTCCACACTCCACTCCAAAGGGCTGAACTTTTTCCTCAGGAGCTCTGTCTGTAATCTAGGTGTCATCTTGGATACAAGCCTTTCATTCAAATCATATGTGGGTGCCGTATCGAAGGTATACTTCCTACAGCTACACCACAACACCAAACCGCAATGATTTCTTATTATTCAAGACACAGAGAAAGTGATACATGCCTTTGTTTACAGTAGGTTAAATTACAGTAATGCTCTGTTATCTGGGAGCACACACTGCATATTAAATACCTTGCTGTGTATTCAAAATTCAGTAGGAATTTTGAATACATAACCCCTGATCATAGTTCCCTGCATTGGCTTTCCGTTAGGTTTAGAGCTGACTTCTTTATAGAATTCTACTGGAAATCCATCTGGACCTGGAGCCTTATTATTGGACATACTTTGAACAGTATGCCCAATAATAAGGCTCCAGG